CTCTGGTAAAAATCCATCATCAATACTCCTTCCCCCCTCCCCACCATGCCTACTGTGGCATGCTGAGCATCTAAGAACAGCCTCAAGGAGAAACACAGGTAGGCTATCTCCGCATGTGATGAACAAGTGGAGGGGCTGTGGAGCAGCATGACTACCTAGCTCAGGACTGGACTTTCTGCCCTAGGAGCATTGTTTTCCCTTAATTTCTGTACTCTGGTTCCTGGGAATTCATCTTGGAGTCCCCCCACCCTCCTTCTTGCTCTCTAATGTTCTCTTCCAACACACTGTTGACCATGATCTGGGAAGCCTGGCCAAAGGAGCACCATTTCCCCCTTTCTTCTGCTTTGCTCACTACAGAGCTGGCACCCACCACTTGGTGGGCAACATGGGAAAGCGGCACCCTAACGAATTCAACCACGTTACCATGTAAGATTGTGGGGTACAGCCTGCTCGTGCCCTTTCCCCACTCCCAACTGCTTCTGAACTTTATATGCAGAACCTTGTCTGCCCCAAAGATCTGCCAAAAAGGGCAACACAAGTCTCACAAAGCACGTGCAATAGCCAACCATGAGCATGCCCAGCAAGGAAAAATACCCTCTGCCCCCATCCTACCAAAGGGAGTCAATCAAGAAAGGGAAATGTAGGTTGTTGGCCAAATGGAAAGAGGAAACCTGTTTGCTCTGTTTCAGAATTGACTTGAGTTGCAGCCCTGAGACAAGAGTGTAATGGATTGCTTCGCTTTTTCCTACTGAGGCTGTTCCAGCAGTGGGGAGGGGAAGAGGGGGGGAGAGAGCTTGTAACTGACTTAGGATATGTGTTTGGCATCAGATAAATTACAAGCAGCAGCCTTCAAGCCCCAAAAGGTCTGATTCATCTCTTGCCATACCAGTAACGATCCAAAGCAACTCCAGTCAAGTCAATGGAGTTACATCAGGCTGGTGCCAGCCAGAGAAGAATCAGACCCAGCACTTGTTTTGGGGGGAAATATTTGGGATCCCTGTGTGCTTCCTGTCTGCATGCATTTGAGTCCTGGCTGCAAATGGGATGAGCTACCCCAAATCCCTGCATGACTGGGGAGGAGAGGTAAAGAAAGTTGAGCAAAGGAACATACTTCCCAGCTGCAGTCCCACGTGTGAAAAGAGAGAACACAAGTTCTCTACGCTACAGCCAATCAGTGATCAATGTATTCATAAAAGGGCACATTTGGACGTGGTGCAAACATAACTCAATTGTCTACAATAGAGCTGCTTTAACTTAAACCAGGGTTGAATCTGGTTCAATCTCTCAGTAGGTACAGTAGATACAAAAAGGCGAGTTATTTGGGTTATCCTTAGTCAGTATCAGAACACTCGGCTCCCCCCACCCCATTAGAGAGTGTTTAAGACCAAGGTGTCCAACCAGTTCTGAAGCAGCAAAGCCACTATAGTGGCTAGTTGGTATGAACAAGGTGGCTATTTGGCCGGTTGAGTGTGGCTAGTTCACTATAGTAGTGACCACTGTAACTATAGTAGTCACTACTGCTATAACGAACTAGCCATACCCCCTCATCTAGTAGAAGCTGGAAACAAAATTCCTTGTCAGTGGTAAAAGCTCCTGATTTTTAACTTGATAGTGGACCTTATCCGTGGTGAGAGGAAAATTCCATCTCTAGAGCAGGGAGAAGTAGAGAACATTTCTTGGCAGGTTGGCTGGTTTTTAAAGGCAGCAATTTAAATTGCCCCAGAGGTTTGGAATGTCAGAAGTATTCCTAGTGGAGAGGGCTTAGTGGGCCGAGTGCAGGGGCAGAAGCAAACAGTGCCTGATAAATGGATTTTTCATGTGGCTATCACCACTCCCGATATAGTATAAATGTGTGTATGTACATGTGTGTGTGTTTGCATTTACTGTATTTTTATGAATAAACAGCATTTGCTGATGAGCTGGAGTATGATTCATTTTATATAGACATACATAAAAATGTATCAGTAAAGATGGCATTAAGTTTGTCACCCATCCAATTTACTGTAACCATCTGCCTTCTAAGAGTGTGCAAGATATATTTGATAGGCTGGGACTGGAGAAGTGACGGCAATGCTGTCAATTAGCTTTAGGCCCAACATTTAGGTTGACTAAGAAAAGCTAATATAACAAATTTCATGGCATTGGAAAAAAACAACATCAGGCTAGAGTATGGGAATTAGGAAGTGATGCTCACTAAAGCAGTAAGTGAAACTGACTAGGCTTGTTTCCTTGTCCCAGCTCAATGAAACGCACAAAGCAAACAAACTGCATCAGTGAGAATGATGCAATTAGGCTGGGCTTTGTTGAAGAGCCTAAAGGAGTTGTGCACCCAAAATGCATTGAGTTTGTATGGAGCTGAGTGCCTAACTCCCCTAGCCTCCTTTTCAAATACCAGTCAAAAGGCCTGGCCTACATTTAAAAGTTTTAGAGGATAACAATGTTGGATTGGGGGAGGGGTGATTTTCTGAACCAAAATACTTGTACCAGTATAAAGGTGCCTTATGCCAGCATAGCTTACTCAGCTTGCCAAACAAGAATAAAGGCTACCAGTATAAGTATTTTTATGCCACTATAACTGCATCCACAGTATGATAAGGGTTAATTTTGTTTTGTTTGCTACTTTAACTAGACCGACTGGTACAATTAAACCCACAACATTTTCTGGGATGTGCAAGCCCTCTGCATGTTCTAACTCTATTGGCTTCAGTATCATGAGGGCTAGGAGGCATAACACAGTCAGGACTTTTTGTTTTAAGTCTGTGGGCCAGATTTGCTACCTGCTTCTGCAGGCAGTTGCAAATTGCACCACGCTGAGGGGGCTAGAGCCCCTCAGAAGAAGGCATTTAGTGTCCCCACTGCATGCTCTGCACCGTGGGGGTCCACAGAGGAAGGGTAGAGTGTGTCTCTGCTTGCAACTCCAGGCTGCTCTAGTTGTCACCCTGTCCTGCTTTCACCCTTCCCCTAGCCAGCACCACTCGCTTCTGAGACTGGATTGCTCCCAGGCAGGGAGCAGGGTAGGAGTGCCTTGTGCCACTCTCCCTCCTATCTCAGGCTAACTTCCTCTCACTGTGAGCTCTCCATTAGGGTGTGGGCCAATGGAATGAATCTGACCCTGTGAGTTTTGTATTGACAGTCTCCCTATCGAAAGGGGATGTGGGAGAAGTGGAGGGAATGAACAATCTTATTTTAAAAAAGGAAACTGAGGACTAGGACAGCATTTGAGAATCGACCAGAGGCTTGTTTTGTCCCCAGTTGTTCAGGGGCTACAAGACATTTTCATGTAATAGTAAGTCTGAGCTTCTCAAATCTGCCTACAGGGTGGAGAAGCCCAAACTAAATGGGATTTGAGCATCCATGTTCCTGCAGGCGGCTGTGAGAAGCTCATCCTTAAAGCATTTAGTCCTTCCCAGGGTGAGTTTGGCTTATCTGAGGCACAAGGAAATGAACAAAACCTCTTGCATCCTTTATGAAACTCAGGCCATTCATAGCTGCAGGAGATGGGGGTGGGGAAACCCAAGGGGAATCCCAGCTAAGCGAACCATGGAACTGATACCTGGAGGAAGATGCCCCATTGTGATACTCCAAGTGGAACATGCAGAGAGCAGAGAAATATTAGCTTGGGTATTCCCGGTCGGCCAATGGCTTCCCCACGACCAGGGTCACTCCACCGAGGCTCTGCAACCTTTGCTGTTCCACCCCGTACCCGCGCTAGGCTGGCAATAGTAGCAACAGAATGTGCAGAGAGGAGAAATGTTGGCTCGGGAGTTCCCCGTGTACTAACGGCTCCCTCACCCCCACACCACGGCCCCTGCCTGGTGGTACTTTTACCCAGGATCTGGATGGTTGGTGAAAGGCCTTGCCACTCACTTGTATTACTTAACTGGCACAATAAAACAAACAGTATCACATTGTTTTGAGTTCAGATGGTTTTCTCGCCCCTCCCACCCACCTCCCCCTGTGGACTTAGAACTCAATATATTTCTATTGGGGAAAAAGGGGATCCCGGATGCCTTGTTCCTTAGGTAGCAAGGAGGAGAGGAAGTTGTTGTCATGCTCCTTTCCGTAGGTTGGGGGTGGGGACCTCTCATGCCTTCATCCTCTGCTCACACTTCTCAAAGCTCCACTTGGTGGCGCCCCCAAGGACCTCCACTAGGTTGTCGTCCCACTGGATCACGTTGCCTTGCAGGTGAGAGGTGCAGTTGGCCAGGCCCAGGATCTCCGTGGGCATCAGGACGTGGTCCCACATGTTGAACTGAGCGATCTCACCGACAAAGGCCTGGGTGGCGTCAAATCGCCCACCCAGCGTATCCTGCAGCAGCACATTGGGAGAGGGTGTGTGTGGGGAGGGTATCAGCCCATTAACAGGGAAAAAGAAGAAAGTGACAGGGGATGACAGTGAATGAGAGACATACAAAGGAAAGGGGAGGGAGAAATAGAGAGAGGGGAAAAGTGAGAAGAAAGAAAAGATGAAATACAGAGACAGGGAACAAAGAAGAAACAGACAAATGGAGAAAAAGGAAATAAAATGGCAAGAGTGAATGAATGAAAGAGGGATGTGGAGCGAAAGTGGAAGAGCGAAAGTGAGAGAGAGTGAGAGCAAGACAAGGGTAGAGCAAATACAATGAATGAATGTGGCCG